CCGACTGCCTGCACGTTTTTCTGGCAACCTTTCTCTCTCCTCGATAACGTCGTCCCGACGTCCTTTTTCCCTCTTTTTTTCTCCATTCCCGAGTCTCTTCTTCACCCTAACCCCGTTTTTGGTACAGATTTTGTTTGTAAGTGCCTCACACTCCCGGATCTGGAGAAGTTCGGAAGTCCGACGTTATGTCTTCCTTGCCGACGGTGTTCAGCGTAAAGGATTTATCTAAATCTACTCCTGATGTGTGTAAAAGATTTTGGGATTACTTTTGTGGAGTGAAATGGAGGTTTTGACGTCAACCTCATATGGTTCAGCTTTGCTGGAGTTTCGTTGGGGTTTTCTGTTCCTTCTCGTTTTTTCACTATTTTTGTTCTTTTCAGGTTGTTTCGAGGTGGCTGAAGGTTGGGGACCAGTTCTGTGGCATCCTAGCCTTCGGCCGCCCTTTGTGGGTCGTGTGCGAGCGAAAACTCCAGCGTTCACCAGAGTTTTCAACTCTACCGATGACCCCCATTTTTTTTCTCTTTTTTTTTTGTTTTTTGTTTTTGGTTCCATTACATTACCTACCCCTAAAAAGAACTTTCGTCCTCAAAAGTCTCGAATTCGTGGATCAACTCGGGATATTTTTTCTTTATTTCCTCCTCTCGTTCCCACGTAGCTTCCTCAATTTGGTGGTTACTCCACAATACCTTAACGAATCCTATGTTTCTGCTACGTAAGGCTTTCACTTCTCGAGCTAGGATTCTAATCGGTTTCTCCTGATAACTTAAATCTTCCTCGATTTTGAGAGGTTTGTAGTCCATTACGTGCGTAGAGTCTGCAATATATTTCCTTAACATAGACACATGAAATACATCGTGTACGCTTGAAAGTGAAGGTGGTAAAGCTAGTTTGTAAGCTACCGAACCTACTCTTTCTAAAATTTCGAATGGTTCAATGAATCGGGGGCTTAGCTTCCCCTTGCGTCCGAATCTTAGAATGCCTTTCATGGGCGCTACTTTTAGGAACACTGGGTCCCCCTCCTCGAACACTAAATTCCTACGCCTAACGTCGGCGTAGCTCTTTTGCCTACTCTGTGTGGTACGCATTTTTACTCTAAATTTCGATACCACCTCGTTGGTGATGCGAACCAGCTCGGGTCCTACAATGTGATGTCCCACGTTGGTTGGGGAGGAGAACAACGCTTCAAAGGGTGCCATCCCGATAGTTGCTTGGAAGCTGTTGTTGTAAGAGAATTCCATTAAGTCGTTCTCCTACTTTGTCCCAGCACAATGGGGATCTACATTGTTTTCCATACAACCCTTCAAAGGGGATCTGGGTTGTTACATACAAGTTCTCGTTCTCCTACTTCGTCCCAGCACATGGGGATCTACATTGTTTTCCATACAACTCTTCAAAGGGGATCTGGGTTGTTACATACAAATTCTCGTTCTCCTACTTCGTCCCAGCACAATGGGGATCTACATTGTTTTCCATACAACGCTTCAAAGGGTGCCATCCCGATAGTTGCTTGGAAGCTGTTGTTGTAAGAGAATTCCATTAAGTCGTTCTCCTACTTCGTCCCAGCACAATGGGGATCTACATTGTTTTCCATACAACCCTTCAAAGGGGATCTGGGTTGTTACATACAAGTTCTCGTTCTCCTACTTCGTCCCAGCACAATGGGGATCTACATTGTTTTCCATACAACGCTTCAAAGGGTGCCCGATAGTTGCTTGAAACCTATTGTTGTAAGAGAATTCCATTAAGTCGTTCTCCTACTTCGTCCCAGCACAATGGGGATCTACATTGTTTTCCATACAACCTTTCAAAGGGGATCTGGGTTGTTACATACAAGTTCTCGTTCTCCTACTTCGTCCCAGCACAATGGGGATCTCCATTGTTTTCCATACAACGCTTCAAAGGGTGCCATCCCGATAGTTGCTTGGAAGCTGTTGTTGTAAGAGAATTCCATTAAGTGCAGTTTAGTGTCCCAACTCCCTGTGAAATCCATAACGCATGCCCGAAGCATGTCTTCCAGGATTTTGTTTAATCATTCCGTTTGGGCATCCGTTTGTAGGTGGAAGGCTGTGCTAAAGTCGAGGCGGGTACCCATCGCTTTTTGGAGTCCGCGCCAAAAGGCCGACGTAAAACCCAGGTCCCGATCCGACACAATTGACACCGGCACTCGCTTTTTGGAGTCTGCACCAAAAGGCCGACGTAAAACCCGGGTCCCGATCCGACACAATTGACACCGGCACTCCATGCATCCTCACAATTTCTTTAACATACAGTTGGGCGTAATTGTCTATTGTATATGTTGCCTTACCTGGTAGAAAGTGGGCCGACTTTATCAGACGATCCACGACCACCCAGATTACCGTATAGCCCTTTAATGTTTTGGGTAGGCCTACTATGAAATCCATGACAATGTTTTCTCATTTCCATTCTGGTATACTTAGAGGTTGTAGTAGCCCCGCGGTTTTCTACCTAGAGGCTTTTACTTGTTGGCACACCAGACACTTGCTCACGTACTCCGCGATATCCTTTTTCATACTTCGCCACTAGAAGTGTTGTTTCAAGTCTTGATACATCTTTGTTCCACCTGGATGTATCGAGAAGGGTGAGTTATGTGCCTCAGTTAGGATTTCCTTCTTCATTTCGCTCATGGGTGGCACACATAAACATCCTTGACATAACAATCCGTCATCTGTTGACTTAGAGAATTCGTCCACTGGGCCTACTTTCAATTGCTCTAGGATTTTGCTTAGGCTTGGATCCCCACGTTGTGAGTCTATGATCCTTTGTTTGAGCGTGGGACGCACTGTGAGTCAGGCTATTTGGGCTGCCACTTCTTCGGCTACTGCCGTTATGTCAGCCCGTTCGAAATAAGTTCACACTCATTGCTCCCTAGTGATGAGAGCCGACGAGTGTACTACTTTTCGACTCAGTGCATCAGCGACTACGCTTGCTTTTCTAGGGTGGTACTGGATGTCTATGTTGTAATCTTTTACTAGCTCTAACCATCTACGTTGCCTTATGTTCAATTCTTTTTGTGTGAACAAATATTTTAGGCTTTTGTGGTCCGTATAGATTTGGGTCTTTTCGCCATACAGGTAGTGTCACCAAATTTTTAACGCGAACACCACTGCTGCCAGCTCCAAATCATGTGTAGGATAATTTTTCTCGTAATCCTTTAATTGGCGTGATGCATACACAACAACCTTGCCATGTTGCATCAGTACACAACCCAACCCCTTTTTGGATGCATCACTATAAATCACGTATCCCACAGAACTCTTTGGAACTGTGAGTACTAGGGCAGATACTAGTCTTTGCTTTAGATCTTGAAAGCTAGCCTCACAAGTATCGTCCCAAACAAAAGGTACACCTTTTTTTGTCAATTGGATGAGAGGCGTGGCTATTCTAGCGAAGTCCTGGACAAACCTTTGATAGTAGCTCGCCAATCCCAAGAAACTTCGTATCTCAGTGACCGTTGTTGGGCGTTTCCATTTCATGACAGCTTCTATCTTATTGGGATCTACGAAGATTCCGTCTTTAGACACTACGTGCCCCAGAAACGAAACCTGTCGTAGCCAAAATTTGCACTTGGAGAATTTGGCATACAACTTGTTCCCCTTAGAATAGTTAAGGCTTTGCAAAGGTGCTCTTGGTGTTCTAGGTCCGTTTTCGAGTATATCAAGATGTCGTCTATGAACAGGATCACAAACGAGTCTAAGCACTCCTTAAATACTCGGTTCATTAATTCCATTAATACCACTGGGGCATTGGTGAGACCAAAAGACATCACCACAAACTCGTAGTGGCCATATCTGGTTCAAAAGGCTTTTTTCGGTATGTCTTCATTTTTAATCTTAATTTGATGATATTCTGATCGAAGATCTATTTTAGAAAACACTGTTGCCCCACGTAGTTGGTCAAATAGGTCCTCAATACGGGGTAACGGGTATTTGTTCTTTACTGTCCTCTTGTTTAATTCCCTATAATCAATGCATAAACGCATTGAGCCGTCTTTCTTTTTGACAAACAACACTGGCGCACCCCAAGGGGACACGTAAGGTCGAATGAAGCCTTTATCTAACAGGTCTTGCAATTGTGATTTAAGTTTTTTTAGTTCTGTTGGTGCCATGCGGTACGGGGCCTTAGAGATGGGTCCCGTTCCTGGTTCCAGATCTATTCCAAAGTCTACCTCTCGTGATGGGGGAGTTCCCGAGAGGTCCTCCGGGAAGACATCCATAAATTCGTTTACTATGGGTACTGTATCTATGGGTTTTTCTTTTCCTTTTGTGTTTACTGCACAGGCTAGAAACGCCCACCCCTCTTGTTGTACCAGGCGTCTCGCTTTCATCATTGATATTATTTTTGGGGTGGTACTTGTGGAGGTCCCTTTAAACTTAAAGGTAAGTCCATTGGGAGGTGTGAATATCACCTCTTTCTTATGGCAGACTATGCTAGCAAAGTTTTTAGCTAGCCAGTCCATTCCTAGTATGACGTCAAAATCTGTCATATCTACTACCTTTAAGTCTACGTGGATGGTTTGTCCAGCTATTACCACTTGTCAGTCCTTTACTCTATTTTTCGTAACTAAGTCTACCCCTGCTGGGGTACCGACCGACAATACATGCATTAAGGGTTCTACTACGAACCCTGCTTATTTAACAAATGGTAAAGAAACAAAGGAATGGGTAGAACCAGAATCAAACAATGTCAACGCAAAGTGTGATAGTATAGAAAGCGTACCTGTCACACGGTGCTAGATGTTCCCGCCTCATTACTGGTCGTTGCATATGCCCTGGTCTGTGGGCGGGTTTGTATGGTAGGCTCTTGAATGATCGGTCCTCTAAGGGGTTCCCTTGGATTTCCCGAGCTCTTTGTAGGGCAAGTTCTGGGCACATGACCTGCATGTCCTCATATATAACACATACCTTAGCCCACCAAACATCTCCCAACATGTTGTTTTCCATAGTTACGGCACAAGGGCTTCTCTAGTGTTAGGTATCGGGCTATTGGGGGTGGAGCAAGTAGCCTACTCTAATATCGAGGTCCTGGAGCGGTGGTTGCAACTTTGTGGTTTCGACCTCGATAGGGCGTTTCCTCCCTGTGACAACCGTTGGCTCCATTTTTTTCTCCTCCGGGGGTTCCTCTAGGGCCTTGGCCGTCCTTAGAGCCTCTTCATTGGTTTTTGGGTTAAATGCCTCCAACATGCGGCGGGTTTTCGGGTTCAATCCCAACACAAATTTTTCTGTCTGTTTCTCTTCAGTGTCAGCTAATGACGGTGCAAACCTTCTCAATCTCATGAAGTCCTGATCATAGTGATCCACCGTACGATCACCTTGGGTTAGGTGGTTAAACTCTTGTAGTGGTTAAACTCTTGTTGTTTCTCTATATGGGTTTCCTTTGGATAATAATATTTCAGAAAGGCTTCCTTAAAGGTTCCCCACGTTGTAATCCCCCGCCCGGGTTGATGCTCTATTTATTATCCGACTACCACACTTCTGCATCTTTTTGTAACACATACGTCGCACACGCCACCGTATGTTCATCAAGGCATCTCACTAATTCAAAGGTTGTTTCCATGTTTGCGATCTACATTTGAGTCGCTGTGGGATCTTCCTTTGAACCGACAAAAGGACGAGGGTTATACCGTCTGAAATCCTTTAACCAACTCGCACCCCTATCCGGATGCGGTTTGTTGGCTGGTTGTATAGCTACCGCATCCACCGGGTGCGTGGCCGCCGCGACTTGTTGCGTAGCTAACAACGTGGCATGTTATGTGGCTAGCATGATTTCCATTGTCTTTTGGAGGGATTCCAACATTAACCTTGTGGCGGGGTCCAACCCAGCCTGTGGTGTAGTTTGTGGGGGAGGTGCGTTTTCAGGTGGTGGTACAGTTTGTGGGGGAGGTGCATTTTCAGGTGGTGGTATAGTTTGTGGGGGAGGTGCATATTCAGGAGGTGGTATAAACGCATATGGTCCGGTAGTCGACCCCTCTTGGGAAGAGCTTCTATCGGCTTCTCCTCTTCCCCCTCTCCTAATGGGAGGTCGTCCTCTCCCTCTCCTAACTTTTCTACGTCCTCTGTGCGGCATAGTTCAAGAAACTAAGAAAAGGGTTTTAACTAAGCTTATGATTTACTTATAACATTCCCTACATTCTACCATATAATTCAGATAAATAAAACATAAATATAATAACGTAAAGCACATGCATTGCATCAGATCACATCACAACACATTTTCATACTGGAGCCAAGCACATTAAATATATCACAAAGATTATACATCCCTCATTCTACATAAGGTATACCTGGCAACGTCAGGGCATCGGTAATTGGACCGTGGAACATGTCAAGCCTACTCTGAAGGCTAGTCTACAAGATCTATAACCTAGAGCTCTAATACCAAATGTAACGACCTTAAATTTTACCTATTTAATCTAAGGTCATTACTATACCTTGAAATGCAGAATATATATTAAATGGGCCCTATTCATAAATGCTACTTATTCTCGCCTTTTATTACCTCGTGAAAGAGAAAACATTACAAGGATAAAGAAAAGAACATTATTGAAATAAAGGAAAAATAACAAAACCAAAATGAATGTTTTAGTCTACCCTATGGTTTATTATGCAAATATATTTCAACCTATACTAACATATACTAATGATGCAAACCGAATTCAGCCTAGACTACGAAATGTGAAAAAAAAACAAGCAACTATCCTATGCATGTGCCACGGTCCCGAGATGTACGATGCCGCCATCGTTGTCACATGGGTGCCTTGCCCTTATCTTCAAAATTAAAATAGCACGAGGCTTAAGTATTTTTAGAATACTCAGTAACTGACCCCCTATCGGGGTTATGCGATAATCAACATGCAATGAAATGATGGGACCTTATCGTTTCGTTTCGTTTTCCCAACGGTGCAATCCTAACGGGCAATCGTGGACGTGTATCATATACTCTACACACAGCCCATACGTGCGAGTATGGGCTCGCCAGCTAGTTCGCACAACGCTGGGCCACTGTCCTTATCCAGTGGGCATACTCTGGGAGCCCCTTATGCCGGGACCCGTTAAAACTAGAACCATCACGGCAGCGTTATGCAATGCATAACGATCGTTGTCTTGCCATTGGATGTACGCGTCCGTACCCTCGTGATGGGATGGGGGTATCCCCCCAGATGCATGAACACACATAATGCATGAGGTCCCCCTATTTCTACATTTATCTTTAATGACCATAACCCCCCTGTCACATTCCATGCTTCATGTCATTCTCATTTTCAATTTACATTTCATACACATTTCTATCGGGGTTATGATTCCAGACAATTTACCGTATTTCTGTTGGTGTTAATATAACACATGCGGAAGCAATTTGGATCTTAGGCACTTTTAGAACATCAATTATAGTAAATAACTAGCATGTTCATAAGTATTAAAACTTAATGAGTTTAATACTAACCTTTTGTAGTTCAAACTCCTTTTTCCTCACGAACCGGTTTCAAACCACCACTAGTGTCTTCTCCGCTATCCTCCGACCTTAGAACGGGATTGTGGAATCCGGTGAGTGACTAAACTTGGGGGGGATCTTGTATATGTGAAGAGAGTGTTTGTGAGAGGTTTTTCTCAAGGTTTTTCACCAAGAAGAAGAAGACCTTCCATGTACCATGATCACTCTATTTAAAGAGTCATGTTTGCATGTTCATGCAAATTTGAGATCACCAAATTTTGACACTTAAAATTTCACTCAAATGTTTGGGATTATGTGGCAAGCATGCATGTTTGAGTTAACCAAATTTTGACACTCAAAATTCCACTCAAACTTGTGGGGTTTATTTGGCAAACATGTAAGTTTGGTTAAACCAAATTTTGACACCTCAAAATTCCACTAACATGGATTTTTTCATTAAATGAAATCAACAGTTTGACTTTCTTCATTTAATTCAACAATTAATTTGAATAATGAATTTCAAATTAAAGTAACATTAAATGATTAATTAAACTATTTAATTAATATTTAATATTAATTCAAATGTCAATCCCAACATATAATTGATTAAGATATTTAAATCTTATTTAAATATCTCAGATTCTCTCTTTTTGTTTAATTTGTAAATAAAACAAAAACGCGGTTAAATATATCGTATATATCTAGCGCATATTCCCTAATTTGAATTCGAACACTTCGAACTCACTTGTCACACTGTTCTATGGTTTAGTCCGATATGGGCTAGCAGAGGGACCTAATGGACCTATAGATCATGGGCTCCAACGATCCAAGATTAACCGGCTAAACTCATTAACCTTGTTAACCAACATTCGTTAACTACTAGGACACTCTACTATAGCCTAGTAGTTGCAATCCCCTCACTATAGATATATTTCTGTCCATTTGATATAACCATGATTAGTAAGTCGATCCTTCACAGGTTGTTCGTAACTAGAGCTGGGTCAATTTACTGTTTTACCCCTAAAGTTACTTCTTGTTCCTTATGTCTCACTAATCCTCTAATGAACAATTGGTTTGTGGTCCAACCAGTTAACCGAATCCCTCTCATGCCAATGAGAGGGTGGGGTCCCTTGTTCAAGACCTGAAGTCAGTGCTTAAGGGAACTACCTTTCTTATCCCTAAAAGTGGGTAGGAGTGAATTCCATCTTGCACCCCATGTCCCCAGCCATTCACCCAGTCTTACCCCTGAAATGGGAGGCCTATTGAGTCGGCGAACTAGAGCCACTCTCACCCATACAAATCTAAGGATAATTCCAAATAAACAGGAGTTCATGGTTAGCTCAGGATTAAAATCGAGTTACCTAGGTTATCGAATGAAAAGAAAATCAGTCTCAACTGTAAACAACATTATAAAGTGAGAGTGGTTTTCTTCATGGTTTGATCTTATGCAATACCCCTTGTAACGACCCGAAAAAAAAAAAAGAGATAATAATAATTATAAAAATAAAATAAAATAAAAAAAGTAAATTATCGACTCTCTCTCTCCACTTTCCCCAAATATCTCCCCAACCCTTCCAACTGCAAAAGGATCTGCAAATGAAAAACAAGAAAGGAAACAGAAACAAAAATGGCAGATTTTGGGAAGGGAAAAATGGGAGAAAGAAACATGGGAAAGATCACAGATTTTGAGAGAGAAGAATTGGAGATGGCCTTCACTTCTCAGATCTAATAGGAATGGAAAGAGATAGAAAAGTAAGTTAGATCTCATTTTCTTTTATTTTTGTACGAGATAGAAAAGTTATCTTAGATCTCTCTTTCAATTATTTAGACTTTTGGATATGGGATCGAAAATCAAAATTGGCTGTGTCAATTGCATCTAAATTGAATCATCATTTTGAGGGAAGAGAAGAAAATCATAATGGATGGATGCATAGCCATTTTTACTCAAGGAAAAATTAAAATAGATTGGAAATGGTTAATGACAGTAGTTTTAGGAAAGAAAAGAAAAAATTCAAAATCATTTATCGAATTAATTAGAATCAGATTTCCACCTACATTACACAGTTATTTAGATGTTAATTAGCCGTTAGAAATCATGTCAGATCTTTAAATGAGATCATAGATCTTCTCCTTTGTACCATTATTGAGAATTAGATCAATCCTTCATTTACTAAACTGTTAGAATTAAATAGGGAAGAAAAGAATTAAATAGGGAAGAAAAGAATTAAACAAGAGGTTTGGAAAAGAATTAAACCCGGAGAGGTTTGAAAAGAATTAAACAGAGAGAGGTAAAGAAAAATATATATATATATATATATTTAATGAAGTATAGAAAAGAAAGAGGTAAAGGAAAGGAAATTATATATATTTAACTAATTAAATACAGGAAAGAAAAGAGAGAGACCGTGGGAGGAAAATGGAAAATTTGGTGAACAGAAACAATTTGACAGAGTAAATACATAGAGTAAAAAAAAAGATACCAATATATATATATATTCAATACTCATAAAGTCTTTAATGCTCGCATGAAGTTTAGCACGTGAACCATTGTAGGAGTTAGAGAATTAAACATGAAATTGATGTTATGGATTCTTATAGGTTGGCTTGGATACAAAGGGAAAAATCGAACTTTCATTAAGGATAAATTGGTCACACCCGTATAAGCTAACCAGATAAGTGGCCTTACTATAGGATAGGCTAAATAATTGTATGAGTTATGATGATGTGTGGATTATGATGCTTGATGATATGTGCGGTATATACATATTTTGTTGAGTGACGCTTGATATGTTTGACACACGTTGTGGCATTGATGAGCATGATGATTGCATGATTTTTACCTTAATATGATGATGTTTCCATATTGAGCATGCTAGATGATGATGAGTGCCATATTGCATCATGTCGTTACATCGACGCAGGACACAACCCTAAGAGCATGAAAATGATATTAATATAAATATCCACGAGTATGCGTTACCTAGAGTAACAAAGAGATTAGACTAGAGGGTTGTGTCAGAAGAGACATTACGATGGATTTAGAGGGACCTCATGCATTTTGTATGTTCACGTGCATAGGGCTACTTCCCCTAGAGATGATGAGTGTGGACGCGCACCTTATGATGAGCGCGAATGCGCACAGGTGCGAAAGCACACAGATGAGGGTGTTCATGAGGCGCATGACACTATAGGGTTCCGCTGACCTCCGGACGTCGCTACAGATTAGCTTGACCAGAGGGTCCAGGGGGTGTGCGAGCGCCCTGGGGACTCACACTCGCACGTGTGAGTCGTATGTAGGGAAGTACTACACATCCAATTTGTCCGAGACTGAAGGCCACCCCTAAGATGATTAGAGATAGGTCCCTAAATCATGATTGCATGTGTGTGCATTTGCATGGCCCCTATAGTGGGGCCACTTACTGAGTATTTCAAGAAATACTCAGGTCGTGTGCCACTTCATTTTTCAGGTAAAGGCAAGGTGCACTTGTACAGAGGACGGCGGCATCGCGAGTAGAGACTGTGGCACGTGCATAGGGTAGACTCATATTTAAATTTCTAGTCTTAAGTTAGAATAGGTTGTTTTGCATTCCATTGTTTTAAATTATTTTGTATTTGTTTTTGTTTTCTCTAAATTT